TTGTTCGACAGACCTATCGATCGATTACACCAGCTCACCATTGGTCGACGGCTTGGATGGTTTACCATTGGTCGACACTCACACACCACCACCGACTGACACTCCTTACGTAGATTGATATTTTCGAACTTCTCTACAAGTATTTTACTTATGATTTATTTTATCCTAACCAAAACAGGACGGGATAACACTGGGGACAGTGTTATTTAAGTCCGTGGAAAGTTTTCTGATGTTTTATTTATTGATATTGGTTTTCTATCTATTTATTATATCTACTACGAGCTTTTTCATTATTTTCATAGACTCAAGAAGGGGGTTATGATCAAACTTTATCTATTGACTAACCACACTATTAGAACCATTCTTAGAACTGCTAATTGCAGAAATTACTAGAGATACCAAAGTGGATCATCTTTCCATTTGATTACACTTGCTTAGAAGTTTCAAGGAACTGAAGCTAGCTTCCAACCTAATTTTGGCTTATTTGCTTGCTTTGGAACTTGGTATACACTGGATCGGACTCCTTCTGCAAGTCTGGAAGGTAAAGTTTGTGTGCTTCTGACTCCCCTCTTTCTCCCCTTCAAATTAAAAAGAATTCAAACATGATTTGGTGGTTACAACCATTAAAGCTTGATTCATAAAAATTCTAAAAAGAGATAAAGGTCAAAAAGAAGTGAACAGGACCTGGTGACAAACACCATTAACGCTTGATTTCTGGAAGCATGACCAGTCAATTAAAAGAATAAAATGATATTCTTTAAAAAAGGAGACATTGACGGAGAGAAGTGAGAACAAAGAGAGGAAAAAGATCAGAGAATACTGCATGTGTGTTCAGATACTTACAGAGGTAAGAATCCACATATCCTTTGATCGATACTCTCAAGGTAAAGCCTGAACTTTTATTTTTCTGCAAGAAATGAGGTCAGTAGAGGGGTGAGTCAAGCTAGTATTTGCTAAGTTGCTGGTAGAATGGATTTGGTTGCTAAGCTACGATATGGTATATAAAGTTTCTTTAAAGTTGGCATAGTAGGATTTGGTTGCAGCGTAGTAGGGGTGATGGTATTATCATAGACTTTATGTGAGTCTCTGATTTTCAAAACCTCTTCACAGGCCACCTTTGTTTTACTTAAGAACAAGAAAACGGTTAAATTTGGGGGAGTTGATATACCTTATTATTTACCAGTTTTATACCATGTTATGGACCCTATTTGGAGTCTATTATATGTGTCTAGGCTATGGTTTTAAGTATTTACAGTTTTAGGCACGTTTTGAAGCTATGTTGGAGTACATGGTGCATTTTGTATGAAGAAATCCTTAGCTGAATCAGCTAAGTCATAGTCGGCACAAGAGATCGACATCAATCAACAGGGCCACCCTGGCGTCCATCGATGGTCGCCGCGCACAAAACAAATTTGTTCAAAACCGAATTAAAACCCCAAGTCTACACATATTTACAAAATCACCCCTGACAAGTTTTTACCTAGTTTATATTGGTTTCTGCCACTATTAGGCAGATAACCATTGCCGCGTTTTTGTTTTCCATAGTTTCTTATTGTGTTTTGGAGAGAAGATCAAAACTTATTCCATAGCTTTGTATTGGAATCCCATGCATTATATTCAGACCTTTGTTTGTGTTTTCTTGATTATATCTGAGTAATTAATCTTGTTAGAGGGTTCTGTGGTATTTGATGGATTAGCCCAAACATAGGATTGCTAGAAGAACTAATATCAATTGGTTAGAATAACTCTTAAAGCATGTGATTTAGAGTAGCTAACTAAATCATGAACTTAGGACATAGACAATTACGACAGTAGGTTTTTTGCATGATCATATTTCTAATTGAGTTAGAGTTGTTAGATGTATGAGACGGCTGGTCGACCACTTCTAGTGGATATCAATTCGTCATAACCGTCGATCAATATTGCTGCTTCACCATCGATCGACAGTCATACTTGTAGGCGATTGATACCTTGTGTATTAAATTTATTTGCATTCTATCCATTATAATTCATGTATCTTTTTTTCTTTTCGAACACCAATAATTCATGTATCTAAACCCTAGATCTAGCAATTTTTTTATTTGTATTAATTTAAATCTAAAATATTTTCTTTTTACTTAAACATGATTTTCTATATACATATTTTACCTAGTTTAACTATTTGAATCTCATAAATCTATTGTGTGCTTTCTTTCTTTGTGGATTCAATTCCTAAATACTTTATCTGATTTTTCTTGGCAAGAATAGTAACTGTAGTTGCGTTTGGTAATTTGATAGAGTGAATTATAAATTATAAGAGCCTGAAACGCAGCAATGTCATGAAATATATTTGCGCAAAATCCAATTTACATTGACGTTTTTGAGTATTTTATTTGTATTATATTCTTCAAAGTGACAATAAATATCATCTACGAGGAAATTTACTCACCAGTAATCTTATTTTCGCATATTTATATCACTTACGTACTACTAGACTCTAATTTGTTTTATGCCCGTACGTTTTTAGTTGAAATGGATGGTAAAACTCAAAAACTCGTGCATCTAGAGAATGATCTAGGGAAAGAAAATTTCTCTTGACTGCATCTCATGTAACAAAAGTACACATGATCATAAAAAAAAAATTGGCCGCTCGTGGATCGCTGGATCAGAATAGAAGTATTTGAAGTGGATTCTGAAACTGTGTAATAACTCTAACCTGATAAAATTAAATTATTTACATGAACAGGTATCGTCTACAATTAAAAAAACAACCTGTTTCGGTAAACCCATGTGGAGACATTCAAATAATAAGATTGTATAAAACCAAGTATAAATGGCTCTATCATCGTCAACGCACAAGCACTATCAACAATCTTTTTTTTTATTTCTAATTTGCTTAGTAAAAAGGATCTAAGATGATGAGAAATGTTTTTTCAACAAAAACGATCCCCTTTCTCTTTAGAAAGCTCCATCTTTTCTTTTAAAAGCTTCGACATTTCCTTTCGTTCTCCGACTCCGGCTGCTCTCATGTCTCTGTGCATGTGTCAGAATCTGGTGTTGATTGCATTCGCTTCTTGTTATTAATCTTTGGATCTGATCGAGATATGTTCTTTCGCAAGCTTCAAGCAGACGTTTCAAGTCTTCATCCCTTTGACTCCGCCGTCTCTGGTTTGTAGACAGGAAAATAAATTGTTCCTTTGTTCTTCCGAATCTTGTTACTTTGGACTATCAATTGTTTGGGTTATTCACTATAGGAGGTTTCTTTTCTCGGTGGTTTGATCAAGCTTATCTCCATCGTCTCTCCAAGGTTTTCTTTTCTAATCCATATGCAATTTTTTTATCTCCATTCTGGATCTGTTTTAGTTGTTCAAGATGTCTTAGTTGTAAGCTTGTGTTGTATCTATGTATCGGTTAGTTTTATGTTTTCATGTTGTCTCCCTCCTGTGGGCTTATGTTCCAGGGATGTTGTCTATTCCACCGGCTTGTTATTCCAGGATTATTCGTAATAGCTGGCCTAGTTTGTAACGATGGTGCTGAAGTTAATATAATGATTTTTAGTGTTACAAATAAAAAGATGATGAGAAATGCTTTTTTAATTTATTGTGGTTCTTGTTTTTGCAATGGCTGTCATATCATATAATAAATAAGATGATGAGAAATGCTTTTTTAATTTATTGTGGTTCTTGTTTTTGCAATGGCTGTCATATCATATAATAAATAGTCAACCGACATATCCTCATGGGTACACGCATTTTTAGGGACACTACAAAAAGCTTCCGCCGCCAACATCTAAATGATTTTTTTTCATTCTCATTTTCATTTCGGATTTGGTAGTCTCAAGAGTGTTGTGGAACTGTTGCTAATGTTACAGATAGGCCTCAGCCTAAACTTCGGAACCCAAAATCTAAACAGTACCTGAACCGAAAAACTCGACCTGTTAACTGACCCAAAATATAAAAATATCCAAACGAATCTTGTAGGAGGGTATAAAAAATATCAAAACCCGAAGTGTTATTAACCGAACCTGAACGGATAACCCAAAATATCCAAAATTAATAATCAATATAAATATTTTAAATATATATAAATATTTCAAATATTAAGTTTAATGTTTATTTTAATATGATACATACATTAAATATTAAAATACAAATAAATATCTTAAATATCTAATTAATTATAGATAAGTACTTTATAAATGCATATCTATATATCTATTTATCTATCTATTTATTTATATAAAGAAGACTTTGTCTCTCTCAAGCTTATCCACGTCAGACAATACTTCTTCTCCGTGTCGCCATGTGTCTAAATGGACTTTTAATTTTTTAGCCCAAAATTTGTTGAGTGCAAGGCCCACGGTTATCTCTCCATTCTCTCTCCTTTCATGTAGATTAGGTTTCATCCAGCATCCGCCATTGTTTCTTCTCTGAACTCATTTCTCATTATTGATTCGCCTTTCCCCTTTGCCGGTTTATATGAAACTTCTTTACTCATTGATGACAGTATTTACGACTCCCCCACGATATGAAATCAATCTCTTCTTATCATCTTAGAGTCGGTGGAAAATGTGTATATATATAGGTGAGATCTTCATCATCTCAGAATCGTTCACAATACTTTCTCACACTTCTTAATCTGTTTCTTTCGTAATGGCTTTGTCTAGTGTATTTTTTCTGACTTGAAATCCGGTCATTGCTCCTCCACCGTCGAGATCCGCCTGCTCCGGTTCTGGGAGGCGAGAAATTCACACCGTGGTCCAAGATTCTACCGGGACTCATTGACTTAAAACTTTGAAGCATCTGCTGAAGGAATGTGCCATCTGTGAGCCAAGCGTATTCAACTTCACACGAAGTAAAGACTACTTCAGATTCACTGACTCACCAGTATCCCTTCGCTTCAACAACCATATCATACTTGTCAGTCCCAAGGTGGTGGTGTAAAGAAAACTGTGGAACTTTCCAGAAGGACAACGGATCTGAATGGAGATAGAAGGCTTTAACGGCGGCGTTTGGGAGAAGGCTACTCACAAGGAGGTGAACGGTTCCAACATTTATATACCTTGAGGCTGAAGGTTGTTTGAAGACAGAAATGAGACGCCTCACCAACATTTTTCTCAGGCGGATGATTGTCAACGACTTAGATATGGATGTTTTGGCTAAGGTGAGACTGTATGAACTCAAGGTTTTGAAGCTTGATAAATGCTCAGGTTTCTCTCTACCGATGGACTTTCAGCATCCTATAAACACTGCAGGTACTGATTTACTTCTTCGTAGCTTTCAGATATTATCTTAAAGTTTAACACTAACTTTTGTAACTCTCTTTATATTCATAAGGACATTTCTAATTGCCTATTCTGACTAGCACGAGATTGCTGCATTTTGGGTCTTTGCTTTAAATTCATTGTTAAAAGCACCATATCTTAAAAACTGTTTCTTTGAAGATCACATGTGGCTTTAGCTCAATTGGGTAAGTAGAAACTTTGGTGGTTTATCTGCTGAACCTTAATGGCTTTGACGTTGCTATGCCTTCAACCTAAGCAAATTATCAATTGGAAAATTAGAAACCTTGGTGCGGACTTTATTTGGTTAATTAGCAAAAGTTGATATCTGCCATCTATAAAAGAATATCTTTGGTAATATATTTTTCACGTCTGCAATTCTGATTTGTGTAGAGCTCAAATGGTAAAGAGTAGCTTTGGTGATATATTATTTGAACCTTAATTTATTCAAAATATGTGCAGTTGAAGACCATATAGAAAGGAAGAAGAATTTGTTGAGTAAGGATCTCGGAAAAGTTGGGTTAAATCATTTTTTCGAAGGAACTTGAACCCTTTATTTTTAAAGTATTTGATATTAGAGATGAGCAATAATTTTTGATTTTGCAGACATGAGTTAGATGGAATAGGGTAAACTTTTTTTTTTGTTGGCATGGATGAGACCAACAATTAGTTATTCAACTCGCTAGTGCATAATTTCTTCTGACACTATTTAATCTGCCACAGCCCACAGGTCTTGGTTCATATCAATATACTGTTCAACTGTGTGATACTGTGATTTGATAATATAATTCACAATCCAGGTCTTCCTCTACGTACCATATGCTTATGATTAAACATTAAATATTCTACATATTTTTTGTATGTCGAAAGAAAATTATGAACAAAATGTAAAATTTTTATTTATTTTTCAAATACTTTCACTGCGCGCAAGGGAAATTAAGAGGCAAAGAATAGAACAAAGTACCAGTGAATTTAAGAAACAAACATTTACGAACAAAAATTAATTCATATTTTTGTGTTATAGAACCAACTTTTTTAAAGGTAAAGCAGTAACATATTCATGACCGTTTCCCTTCCCTTCAACTTCCATAATCCATTCTGCAGTTTAACATGTTTGATGAACAAAATTTTGTGAGTCCATTTGCTATCGTGTATCTGATATATAATTCTTGATCACATCATGAATCAAAACTTATTAAAAAAAAAAACTAAAACTGCATGCATGCGTCTAATATACTAGAAAATATAGTCATTTGTTTCCTTTTTTAAAGAAAACTAGATTTTGACCCGCCCTTAAAGAGGACGGGACAACCGTTTTTGCTTTAAATTTATGCCCTTATTTGATTATTCACAAGTATGTATAGACATAAGTATCCAGATTCAGATAGATTGTCGTTAATAATTTTGATTTGGTCCAACATATATAGATTATATACGATTACATAGAATTTAGTGTGTGTATAAGATTGATTTTTCTTATTCGTTTTAGTTAGATAATAAATTTTAGAGACCCGATGAAATTATGAGTTCTATTCGATAATCTAAAGTATTGATTTGTAATAGTATATATTTTGAGTTCAAACTTATTTTTTATAAAAAATAAATACTATTTTGGTACTATTATAAACAATTTGGTTGATATTATTGTCATATAAAATAAATAGAGATACAACCGACTGTTTATTTTAAAATTATGGTCATAAAAATTTACATTGTATTATATAGATGGTATGTGTTTAAAAAATATGATTAACAAAACAATTATATAAGAAAATAACATAAAAATTCAAAATACAACTGCGAATGATTATTCCAAGCCCGTAAATAAATCAATACATCATATTAAGCCCAACACAAATATACCGAGAATATCTCTTTAATATATCTTGGACATGCGACTACCACATATCTTTTCAAGAGCGGGATATATTTTCTTTATAAATTGCTTCATACGAAACGAAGATTTGATAATTATAAATTACATGTGTTGAAATTTTGCAACTTAATACATTTATAATTGTGTTGAGTAGTGTTTTCATACCCGACCTGACACGGGTTTGAGACTGAGCAACTAAACTTAGTGATATGTATATATTTCAGTTTGGATTTAACTAATTCACCGCTATTTAAAATTTTGATAAAATTTGGTAAGAATCCAAAATCCGTTAGTAGCATGTCACCTAGCACTGATTGACCCGTGTAAACTTAAGATAAAATTGGTGATCTAAAAAAATTGATCAAAATTTTATATATTTTAAAATGAGTACATGAAATTGAATAGTATATTTTATCTGTGATTCTTTACTAAAATAAGTACTATGTTGTCTGATAAAAAAAAAGAAGAGAAAGGCGATAGAGAACACCGAAAATTTTTACTTGTTTTTCAGTATTATTTAATTTTCATTATTGATAATTTATTTCTGGTTTTATTTTTAATTTAGACTTGAATTTTATTTTTTTATAATCGCTATTATTTAGTTGGTAAAAACCGTGATGTAGAAGGAATATGTTAGATATGGTTTTATGTATATTAAAAATAGGAATTTTTTTCCCGTAAACTATATAACAAATGAAAATTTTGACCCTTATATATATTAAACTTAAATTATATTTATAGTAGAGAACATAATATGACTCCCATATATAGTAAAGGAAGTTTAATATATAAAAATAAAAGTATATGCCAAAACATATGGGAAACAATGAGAATTTAGTTTTTTTTTAATATAAAATAAAGTAATATTGATTAAATACAGCTATAGTTAGATATCATAGGCAAAAATATTAATTTGAAATCTATAAACCAAACAATATTTTCTTTCTATTTATTTTAATTTCAAATTAAAAGATAAATACTTATTTAGATAAATATGAAAACAATTAAGTTTTGTTATCATTTTGAAATCTCTGCATAATCCAAGTTATATTCATTTTATTAGATTATATCCTTAATATAACCATTTTTATTCTTATATGATTAACATTTGTTTTCATATTTTTTTGGATGCAAATCTCGTCGTAATGAAGAAGATAATTGAAAAGAGGAGAAATATTTTAAATGATGCTATTACGAAGTATTCTTAATAAGTTATCTAGCTGAAGAGTTTATCTCAGATATTAATTTATTTATTACATTCTAAAAAATGTATACTCTTAAATTCGTTAGTTCTTTATAATAATTTTTTACAAAATATTTTTAAAAGGTTTATAACAATTTAAGTTCTAGGTATTTTATTTTAAATATTTATTGTATAAATAAAACGAAAATTATATTCTATTTTATTTTTATTTTTTATTTGATGAACTACTATAAGAACTATATTTCAATTTAAATTTTATGATGCGCTATATATATCTTTTTATTTTACATGTTTGTTTGTTATAAAACGAAAATCCTACTTCTTTTCATTACATTTACTTGAAAGATAAGTTATTAGCATAAATGGTGTACATATATAATATTTGGTTCATGATTTTATAATATGTTATATAACAGCAAATTACTATTTAACATTAAGTAATTTCATATTTGCTTAAAAATACTTTTTTATATCATTAGGAATAGTTACTTTTTACCATATAGTCAAAAAGAAAATTATAAATAAAAACTGAAAATATATTAAGGTAATTAATAAACACGATATTTCTATATAGTTATCACCATAATTGGCGACATTTAGGGATATTGATTTTATAGTTTAAATCAATGACATAATATTGTTATTAAAATTAAAATGGAGAGATAATCAAGGCAATATATATTTTGTTGGAAAAATATTTGGTGGAAAAATTAGTAATAAAAACTATAGGTTTAAATAATGCAGTGGCAAAGATCTGTAAATATTTTCAAAAATCAAGGGGACCTAAAAAAAAAGGCATTGTGTTTTAATAGTATAGATATCTTCTTTGTACTTTTGATTATTTTATTTTTATATTTTCCAAACAACATTAATTAAATGGTTAATTTTAATATTTTTTTGAAAAAGGATTAATTTTAATATATGTCTATAAGTTATGGGAAAACATAATTACAAAAAAAATTCTGAAATAGTTTTAACCTCAATGATTGGATATCAAAAAGTGAGTTTTATGTTTGTATAAGCTGTATCAAAAACTCGGATTTAACAGTAATCAAAATTAACATTATTACAAATTTGACAATCATATCTATTTATCCAAATAGATGAAGATAAAATTTAAGGATCTTTGACATTTTATCCGTACAGGGAGCAGCATACAACTTTCAAATGGACACATGTATTCAACTTCTATTGCTTTAGTCATAATTTATATCTATTTCTTTTAGGGAAGGTAACTCAAAGAGTATGAATTTTATTATTTCTTCTCACAACAATATAAAACTTTTTTTTATTACTAACCTTTTTTTAATATCCAGCGTACCATTTTTTTACGTTGTGTGAAAAAACGTATTTACAAGAATGCCATGTAGGCAAAAAATCGACTCCACGTAAGAATGCGGCATAAAACTCAGCCGTAATACGATACGCTTATCGTTACGGCCGAGTTGTAGTTATGTTGCGGCTGACTTAAACAATTAAGCTGACTTATGAGAACTAAGCTGAGTTATGAACATAACTCAGCCTATCCTTACGGCTGACTTAATAAAATCTTACTGGTTTATGTGATAACGGCTGAGTTATGGTCACATGTTACGACTGACTTATACATCAGCGGGCTGGTTTCTAGAAAATCCGGCTGAGTTCTAGCTACGATACGGCTGAATTAACTGTTGCGGCTGGTTTAATTGATCTTCGTCAGGCCGAGTTATAAGTTAAATTTAATCAGTCGTAATAAAATGGAGTAACAGTAAACTCATCTGAATTACGGCTGACTTATTAGCGAAAGATTAATTACTAGAATAGCATTCATTTGCCGGTTGATTTATTTGACGATACAGCTGACTTATTACGTTTCATCTTAGTTATGGCTAATTATTAGCATTAATTACTAAAATAGCATTCACGTTTTGACTGACTTACGGTGTACTTGGTGGCTGACTTAAGTGTTCGTTTGGTGGCTGAATTACCGATTTTCCATGTCATCATCCATGTCATCTTTTATTTGCCATGTCATTACTAACTACAACAATGAAATTTGGGTTTATGTTATAGACGCTGCTCTCTGTTCTTCACCTTCTTCTCTTTCTCTAAAATCTTATGGATCCAGTAATTATTGTTTCTGGTAACTGGATTAAGAAAAAAAATATATGTATTCACACCCGATAGTAGAGGATGTATTGTTCTACACCCGATAGTAGAGGATGTATTGTTCTGCATGCAGAAGAGAAAATAACACACGACGAACTCGCGAAGTCAGTACTCAATGATTACAGATTGAATGAGTCGAGTCATCAGATTCAGCTATGCTACCAGTTCTCGAATAAAGCTTTAAAAACAATGGCTCACAACACGCCACCAGTTTACGTCTCCAATACTCGTCAATTACAAATTTTTTAAAGCCTAAGGAAAATCCAAAGATTACGTCTCTATGTAGAGATTACAGAGAACGAGGATGATGAAATCAGCCA